GTATATCACCTTGTGCACATGTGTTAGCATATTTTCACAAACATTTTCAAGGGTGTTAGCACTCCACTAGATCCTAAATGCATATGCAATGAGTTAGAGCATCTAGTGGCACTTTGATAACCGTATTTCGATACAAGTTTCACCCCTTTTAATAGTACGACTATCGATCCTAAATGTAATCACACTCACTAAGTGTCTCGATCACCAAAACAAAATGACTCCTACCATTTATACCTTTGCCTTGAGCCTTTTGTTTTTCTGTTTCTTCTTTTCAAGTCCAAGCAATTGATCATCACCATGGCATCACCATCATCATGTCATGATCTTCATTTTCTTCACCACTTGGAATGTGCTATCTATCTCATAATCACTTGATAAACTAGGTTAGCACTTAGGGTTTCATTAATTCACCAAAACCAAACTAGAGCTTTCAGCCATGCACAGGCGTCGTCTGTCGGTCATGGCGTTCCATTCCGTCCCGGTGGACGTCATGATGAACTAACGCGTCTGTTAGCGTTCGTACGATGGTTAGGCAGAATAGCACTGGCACGCCCGACGCTGTTCTTGATGTGAACCCTCGGTATGGCCCATCACGGCCACAGGTTACATCGGGGCATGCCAGTCTCTTCCTTGGTGTCAAAATTTTGACCCAGACCCATACGCCTAGACCAAGAGTAGTTGGCAGCGGTATGGGACCCCGTCGGACGAGGCGGAGCCACCCCTAGAGGTCGGGCGAGGTGGAGCCCACGTACCTGGGGGTCGGTTGGAGCTGTAGTCGCGCTCTTGACTGCTCGGATGAATCGATGTGGATGGTCATTAGCTCCTCCTCTTCGGGTATCCTAGTATTAGTCCTCGACACAACTTATCAAAAATGGTATGGTTTAACTAAAGTTAAGCTTGTAGAAACCTTAGACCATGCTACAAGGAAATTTGCCAATAGTGGCAACGCTAAGGGGGGCTTTGACTGAGGCCACTCGGTGCTAGCTAATATTAGGTCGTTGATTGTGAGTGCTAGACTTGTTTTAGATGGATGTCGAAGTTTGTCGGTCTACTATACCAATGCGTAGTTCATTTTTTGGCTTCTTCCTGACTAATTGGGACAGCCAAATCACATGCCAGACTTTGGCCGACTAAACTAGTTTCAGCGAGGCATCCAAGGCAGCAACCAAATGTGTCCCAAGGCCCCATTTAGCACAAAACTAATGGCTTCTAGTTCACTTGTGACATGTGGGGCTGACACCAACACTATAGAAGGGAAATGCATTCCCCTATTCACCCACACCCCACTCCACACAAAAAAATAAAAGAAAAGAAAAAAGAAAAGCGGGACTAGCTACAAGTGTATAGTAAGCATTTTCAGAAAACAAACATCAAATAGGGGGAAGGGGGTGATAGTTGACAATTGAGCCTAACTTCTTGGTTAATTTCCTTGTGGTGTTGGTGTTACTTACCACTCATGAATCCATGTGTATATCTTCTTGAATTATTTCTATAAGAAACGACACTATACATTGAGTGGTAGGTTGTAGACTTTTTTGGGGAATCTCAGTGCTTAGTGTATCAGTCACTGCCTCACTTGGCTAGTAGTTGATACCAGCAAAAATTGAATAGAGCATGAAGATGATACATGAACTTTGTTGTAAAGGAGTGTTTGGTGGTGTTATACACCTTTACTCACTCGGAGTTGGACAATGACCATTAAATTTGGCAACATGTACAACATGGATACCCCAGAACTTATAGGCAATCTGGGTGTAGGAATAAATCGATCCTCATCCTCAACATCTGATCTTATTATCACTTCATTTCTTTAACATGTTGAAGGCAAGTTTGAGCACATTCATACTCAATAAATCCCAACATTTACAATAATTTTATATGCTTGGGGGTAAAATAAGGTTTAAGTTTAGGGTTTTCACCTGAGCCTACAACATTTCATCGTAATAAAAAAATCTTTGCATTTCAAAACATAATTAGCTGGTCCATAAAGATTACTAGATCGAAGGGAGGGAGTAAGACATCCCTTCCAGGCCCATGTTTAGTACTAGTAGCAACAAGTATTCTTAGTATTAGTAGCAACAAGTATTCTTATTCCATGCATGATTGATAATTGAGTTCAACCATAGTTGTTTCATAGCCATGAACCGCAACTGTCTAGACATATTTATATTTATAGGGGTATACAACTGTACGCACATGATATACACAACCTGAAATATGGCAGTGGCCGAGTTGGTACAATGAGATCCATGCCTACCCGAATACTCTTGCGAGGGATGCACACCCTAGTATCTACCCACGGATACTATCAAGAGCTTGAGTAGTTTCAAGCACTAAGCACAATTCACACATATATTTGGTACCATATATAAATGAGGCCACAAAGATTTCACATAGATCACTAGGATTGCAAGTGCCAACAGAATCAGGTGCAAGGTCCTATTCTATCTTCTAACCATCCGTTCATCGCCAAGCCTTACTAGATCAGCCCAATTGCAAGTCAGACCGGGCGCAAAGTCTTGTTCTATCTTCTAACCGTCCGTTCCTCTTGCCAAGCCTTTGGGGTGGATACTAGATTAGCCCAAAGGAGTTTGAACAAAGGCTTGTCCCATTACAAACACATGTGGTTTGCATGATATTGCTAGGTTGAGTATCTTAGATGAACCGGTCCTTATGCGATTGAGGTGGTCATCTTCTACTCACGCATAAAGCCCACTTACCAAACATTTTACTCAACACACCCTACATGCCTTGTGTTAGAAAACACTTCCTAAAGTTTTGTTACTAATTTTCAAGCTTTTCTCTTCCCACCTGTTTTCCATGAAAACTCACACTTTTGCCATTTTTTGTATAAGATGATATTTGAGTAAAATGATCTATCCTCTCCAGAGAAAATTTTGTCTTCTTCAAAGAGAAAGCAAACTAATTATTTAGCACTAATAGTTCTAAAATCATGGACTACTCGAGCATGTTCCAAGGGTGGGTGAAGCTCTAGGTTTTCAAGGGCACTTGCTATTTTCAATTGCTCAAAAATAGTTGACTATGTGGACTGTCACTAATACAACTATTGGAATAACTTTTATGAAAACATATAACAATGTCACATACCAAGTCATGTTGGTATTGTTATTTACACTCACAGAATAAAAATACGATCATGGTGGTAGGGACTTGTCTTCGTTGATGTCCTGGTATGTCGTCGTTGTAGGTCTTTTACCTGGTGTTACCTTGAAATCCAATGTTTTCTCGAAAACAACAAATTCCCTTGCATATATCTATATGTATGTATAGCACGTTGTATTAGGGTAACTATCACAAAACAACATATAAATAGAAGAGGATAAAAGAAGGAACTGGGTTAGAAAGAATGGTTGTAGCAAAAGCTATATATCATGTTGTATTAGGGTAACTATCACAAAACAACATATAAATAGAAGAGTATAAAAGAAGGAACTGGGTTAGAAAGAATGGTTGTAGCAAAAGCTTTTAAAGGGAATGCTATTTCTCTCGTCTCAAGATTTGGATAAAAGTCTCTAGATGGTGTGTGATTATCATTTGGATGAAGCATATTTGTAGGTCATTTTGGGGTATAGAAGGAGAGAGGGAGCGGGGGTTGTGGTTGGGTTGGTTCTAGATGACGCTCAAAGTTTGCAAAGTCGCATTTGGAAGATGACATTTTTCATGTAATGTTGTTTCGATATATTTTGTGACCTTTCAGACTCTTTGGTCAAACTTTCTAAAGTTGCGCTATATATATAAGCTCTAAAACCTTAACCATGTGGTGTGATTTTTTTTTGTCTCTTCTAGGATATGTGCTATATCTTTAGCACATTTTCTTTCCTAAGCCGCTTAGAATTGTCACCCTATTCGCTTGATCGTATCAGCCATGCTTATCAGCCATGATACAATGTTTTTCTCTCACAACAAAACAACATCAGCCGGCTTATAAGCCACATAAACTATCAAGCGAACATGGTGTGTATCTTTTTAGGATGATATTTTCTAAACTCAAATTTGAAATAGGAAAACATCGTCTTAGGTTGTTTAGGTGGCACAAGTGAAAATGAATATTGTAATGATTTTCACGAGTTAATCAATCCTTTAATTAGCAAGAAAAAAGAGAAGAGAAAGACAACACGAGGAACAATATGAGAAATCGGGTTTTAGAAAAAAAAATCTTCTTCTTTTTGTCAAAACCGACTTTTTGAGTTTTATTTGTAGAAAACAAATTTTGGTTGTTCCGGTTTTATCTCATGTAACCAAACAATATTTTAGGTAGTTAATCTCTAAATCTAGTTTGTTAACAAAATATGGTTTTGATAATACTCGAGATCCAAACAACTCCGGAAAGAAAATGCTAGTATAAAGATTGTTTTTTAAAAGGGAAGATTGTGTTTTTGGAATGAAAAGATTGATAACCTGCTAGAGTGCTAGGCCACAAACGGGATCATACATTCATGCTAGCCGATCGATTTTACCGGGCCCCAGCCCAGAGGGAAAGTCAAACATAATCGCTGCCACACCCACCGCCAGATCGTGTGAAACTACAGAACTCACGACTTGTTCGGGAACTCGCTACGACTGTGAGAGAAAACACCGTTTCCATTTGAAATTTACCATCGCCCAAACCCTTTTGGCAGCCCAAACCCTTTTGGCAGAATGGCAACCCGAAAGCCTACCAGCGGCAGCGAGCAAGATTGATTGATTGCCCTCAAGAAACCGGCGCGTCCGTCCGATCCCTCCCGGGTCTCGAGTCCATGCTCCATAGTCCATAGGGTAGACGGGTAGGGGAACCGATCGAGCCGGGGACGACTACTGACCAGCAGCGAGGCAGCCATCCGGCCAGCCCCCTCAATTTCCACGACGCTTCGGCAGCTCGCCGTCCCCCTCGTCTCCCTCGCCCCAAATCCCCCTCCCCCAAACCGCACTCCCTCTCGCTCCAAATTCCCATCCGCCCCCCAAACCCCGCTTCACTCAAAACCCTACTGCGCGCGCCCCCGATGGCCGCCGCCACCGCCGCCGCGTCCTCGGAGGAGGCCGTCAAGGTGAGTGACGGGGCCCGTCGTTGACTGTCGGATTTTGGGTGCGCCTGCGCGCAGGGTTGATTTGTTAACGCTTTTCCTGGTCTTGGTGCGCGGGGATGCAGGCGGCGAAGGTGCTGATGGTCGGGGCGGGAGGCATCGGCTGCGAGCTGATGAAGACGCTCGCGCTCTCCGGATTCAGCGACATACACATCGTGAGTCTCCGCTCCGTTTTTACCTCGAGGCTGGGTCTAGGTTTACTGCCCCGCTTTGCTTGAATCTGGATTTCGCAGGCCCTGTGGATGGCGGTTTGCTGGTGTGTTCTGGGCTTTAGTGGGATCTATGATAGGGATAGCGTTGACCTAGAGTTGAGAAGTGGACCTGCACTGTTCAACCCACGAGTTGGCAATCTGCTTCTATGATGGCGTACTTACTGTAGCGCTGATGACTTCAATGCTCTTGCTTGCAATTGTGCTTGTGGGTTCTGTATTGCATTTTGGGGCACTCCTCGTTACAACTGTGTTTAGCGCCTTGCTCTCTGCAGGCCCTTTCTTGTCCTGGTGCTTATTTTTATGTTGGTATGAAACATTTCATTTTTTACCTTAATTACTTAGGTTCAGTGTAGTTTGTAACCAGTTTATAAATGGACACATCCTAGTCCTTGTTTAGGTAACCAAAGTACACAAATCAATGTGCTTGAGATATCTACGAATCTATTTCCTTTTATCGCTATGTCCCATTAGACTAGTTTCTGGTTGGGCTTATAAATCAGAATCAATTCTCAAGCTACAAAACCTCTATCTTGCTGCCTTTAGCATAGCACAGGGTGATGCAAACGTATTTTTGTGCCATCTATTATTTGCCCCCACCTCCACTCCCCCAAAAAAAAGGCTCACGTCCCAAAAAAAAAGTGTCAAGGAGGTCCCGGGTTTGAATCAGCCTCCTTGTAAAATAAGAAAATTCAGAGCTGTCTATAAATTCCCTTACAAGACCCCACCTTGTGTAGTACCTTTTAGCACTTTGTGTGGCCTTTTTTTCTATCATTTGCTTCACTTATATTAAATATTGCGCAGGAAAACAACCATTTATCTTACTGCATATGGCATATCACAGGGAGAAAAAAAAATTCTGCTGCATCTGTAATTTTTTTCATTACTTTGATGCCTATCATTTGACTCCTATTATGTATTTTTATCCCTCTTATATCTTGACGGTTTGGTAAGTATGCATTTGTAAAGACTATACTCCCTTATTACTGATGGTAGTAATAAAAATCTGTCTGTTTCATCTCAGACGGTGCACCCAAGTAATCCAACCTTTTTCTCTGCAGATTGATTTGGATACAATTGAAGTTAGCAATCTGAATAGACAGTTTTTGTTTCGGCAGAGTCATGTTGGGCAGTCAAAAGCTAAAGTGAGTTTCACATATGACTAGAATAATTATCCATTTAATAGTTTTTCTTGTAATTACCCTATTGTTGTTTCTTTTTTCTTACACTGTTTTATACCATTGGTGTTGCCAGGTTGCTCGGGATGCTGTGTTGAAATTTAGGCCAAATATCAATATAACACCATACCATGCAAACGTGAAGGATTCTCATTTCAATGTTGATTTCTTCAAGCAATTTAATGTTGTTCTGAATGGTCTTGATAACTTGGATGCTAGACGCCATGTTAACCGCCTTTGCCTTGCTGCTGAAGTTCCTTTGGTTGAAAGTGGCACTACTGGTTTTTTGGGACAGGTAAGGCAACCAAATACTGCAGTCGCAGTCTCAAAATCGCTTGTGCTAGTATATGCTTATAGATGTTTCTGTTGCTAGACCCTTTGGGGTCACTGTTGTATCGTTGTACTACCCTGTCTTGGCTTCTTCTCTTTGATATAATCGGCAGCTCTCCTGCCTGATTTGTTTAAAAAAAAGTATATGCTTATAGCTTTATTTCATATTGATGTATTCCTTGTGATTTTATTTCATACTGATGGCCTATAACTTTTTTTTTGTTGTTTTTTATATGTACGAAGCATGTGAGTTGTGAGGTATCTAGTTACATGTCAGTAACAACGGTTTTTGTTTTTGACATGTCCTTTTCTTTTACTAGCAGTGTTGTTTTGAATTCTCAGCTAGTGTGCAACTTTTTGAATTCTCAACTAGCACACAACATATTTTATCCTTAGAGAAACTCTGATGGCGTATCTTCTTCTGTCAGTGACACTGCAATATTGTTTATTATAGATGTTCACCTTTCTGGTTTTAGATGTTCTGCATTTGCCATAGAATACATAATGATCCCTGGGATAGATGTTGTCTTTTTTTCACAACGGTAAATCCGAATTTCTTTACAAAGGCAACGGAATTTCAGAGTCATAGATAAATGTTTTGTCTAGGCCTTTGATATTCTTTTATTTAGAAGATTTACATCAGTAGAAAATCTGTGGGGATTAAGTTAAATTTGTGCAGGTGTATATGTGGTGATTTTCTTAGAAGTATATTGCTGCTATGAAATCTCCGGGGTAAATTTAGTGGCCTGAGAGGGTATGCTGACACTCAACTAGCATTAAGCATTAACTTGTTCTGGTTGTTTATTTATGCCCGCAAATTAAGATAATAAACGTCATTTAGTCTTACAGAGAGGATGCTGATAAAATCAGATGGAACTTTGGGGTCTAGATAGGCTAGTCTTAACTCTGAATTTGATATGACATTTTTCTTTCTTCTATGTAATTTTACTACACCTCTTTAAAATGGTTGTTTATTTAGCAGTTAGGACTTAGGGATCACCAAAATATGATTATAAATCATCTGCAAGATTCAAGCGGATTTCTGATGGTTTGATACAATCTTTTTGTACATATTATATGCGCTGTGTGTTCTTTTTTTTTCTTTGGTTAGTAATATAATTAGATATGATGATTGTATTGGATTTTGGTAGTGTGCAACCGGTGCTCTCAGAATTTGAAGCTTGAGACATTCAGTAATTTTGCAATGCTGGTGGAATATGTACAAGTCAGTGTATCACAATATATCATCAAATGTACGCATTGATTTTGGTCTTTATCAATTGGCCATTGCCTCTTAGTATACATATGAAATCCGGTACATTGTTTATTTATACATTTGTTAACTCAAACGTGTCGAATGTTTGCCACTAATAACAAACTTAATCAGCACCACCCTGCATATTACTCCAAGCTAATGCTTTGCTCAAAGTACTTTCCATTCCATACATTTCAGGTTACTGTTCATGTCAAGGGTAAAACAGAGTGCTATGAGTGTCAACCAAAGCCTGTCCCTAAATCATATCCTGTCTGCACAATTACAAGCACACCATCAAAGGTTACCTCTCTGGCTCAACTTTTTATTTATTTGTTTTGTTGGACAGTTTATTATGCTGCATATCCGCTCTTGTTTTTCTTTGTGTTATTGTATGCATGCAAGTGTAAGTTTCTAATCCTTTAGTTTTTCATTGTTTTGAACATCTTGTGGAATGTGTTTGCTATTCAGATTCATAAATGTAAACTATTATGTATTGCATATTTTTGTATACGAAAAAATAATTATTTCCCCATTTTTATGGCAAGTTATTTCAATCCAATGTTTTATTGGATTTAGATGGGCATGAATGCCGTTGTATTCTTACAGACAATTTGTTTTTTGGCATCTCCGACGCAGTTCAATTTTTAAATATCAACATTTTTCCTTGAGCACGTAAATATCAGCATGTTAGCTTGTTGGGGTTATACTGCTGTGCATTTACAATTATGTTATAGTATGATAGAATCTGATGGCTTCTTAGGTTTAGCACTAATGACTGATTTTATCTCTTTGCAGTTTGTTCATTGCATCGTTTGGGCGAAAGACCTGCTTTTTGCAAAGCTATTTGGTGATAAAAACCAGGATAATGATCTTAATGTGCACTCGAAAGATGATACTAGTTCAAAAACAGATGTTTTTGAAAGGAGTTTAGATGAAGATCTTGAGCAATACGCCCAGAGAATATATGACCACGTATTTGGTTACAACATTGAAGTTGCCTTGGATAATAAGGAAACTTGGAAGAATCGGAGAAAGCCAAACCCAATATACATTAGAGATGCATTGCCTGAAGGTGCTGTTCAGCAAAATGGTCGTTCTCAGGATAACATGAATGACGAGCAGGATCCGTCTGCTATGGTGTCCCTAGGCCTTAGGAATTCACAAGAGATATGGAGTCTTGCTGACAATTCAAGAGTGTTCGTGGAGGCTTTAAAATTATTTTTTGAGAAAAGAGAGAAGGTTCATATGCTTTCTTTTCTGAGTTGTATGACATCTTAAAGTTTTTCTTTATATAGAAATTAATCCAGGCTTGATTTTCTCTTTCAGGAAATAGGGAGCCTTATTTTTGACAAGGATGACCAATTGGCTGTCGAGTTTGTTACTGCTGCAGCAAATATCAGAGCTTCCTCTTTTGGAATACCACTGCATAGCCTTTTCGAAGCTAAAGGTGTTGCTGGAAATATAGTTCATGCTGTGGCAACTACTAATGCTATAATAGCTGGTCTAATCGTCATCGAAGCAATTAAAGTGCTCAAGGGTGATTATCAAGATTATAGGTAACCACATTCTAAACCTGTCACATTGTATTTTTCTTGCACCAATGGTTTCTATCTAAGATTTGCTGTTCATGTCAAATGCTTAGTTTCTGTTTATGCTTGCTTCTGAAGAGTCAAAGTTGTGAAATCTAGACTATTACGGAACTTGTTTTCTTTATCAATTTGTCATTGTATATAATTTATCTTGTTGCTTTCCTATTTGTTTTTGGGCATGCATAAAATAGAAGTAATGTAACTTCATGGTTCATGTTTTACAGAATGACGTACTGTCTTGAGCATCCAGCAAGGAAGATGCTCTTGATGCCTGTTGAGCCTTTTGAACCTAGTAAATCATGCTATGTCTGCTCTGAGGTAAGTACTTTTCGAGTTAGGCTTTTGTTACATTTTTTCTGATTCTTCGGCACTGACATGAGGTAAAACTGAACGCAACAGACCCCACTTGTGCTGGAGGTTAATACTAAGACAACAAAGCTCCGGGAAGTTATTGAAAAAGTTATAAAAAGCAAACTTGGAATGAACCTCCCTTTGATAATGGTTGGCACCACACTTGTTTTTGAGGATGGTGAAGATTTGGAGGGGGTTGAGATTGCAAATTATGCTTTAAACCTCGAAAAGGTGCTGTGATACTTTCTAAGTTAATTTTCCTGCTCAAGAAAAGTCAGTTGTATGCACTGTGGCATATATTCTAAAATTCTTGTTTCTTAAAAATTTGCAGCCCTTTGTTGTGTTCATGATCAGCTTAGTTGATTTGTATAAACTTAAATTTTAAGCTTGCAGCCCTTAGTTGTGTTTATGCCCTGCTTAGTTGATCCATTATTGCAGGTCTTGGCTGAACTTCCAGCTCCAGTTCTAAATGGTACAACGCTTACGGTCGAGGATTTGCATCAGGAACTCAAATGCAATATCAACATCAAACACAGGTTCTTCTTTTCTTCTTTCACAGACTATGCACCTATAATTTCATGGTTCCATTTCTTTGGAAACCTTGGTGGTTGGCCTCTGTGTACCTTTGCACTCATCTAAAGAAACTTGAGCTGCATGGTATTATGTAACTTGTTGCACCTTGTTTTGAATTAACCTTTTGCTTCTATGCTAGATATGTAATGAGATATGCCATACCTTACACTCATCTACAGAAACTAGAACTGCATCGTATTATGTAGCTTGCCCTTATTTTGAATGAACCTTGCTTCTATGCTAGATACGTAATGAGATATGCCATACCTTACACTCATCTACAGAAACTAGAGCAGCATGGTAATGTGTAACTTGCTCTTATTTTGAATTAACCTTGCTTATATGCTAGATACATATTGAGATATTCCATTTCTTTGATTACTGGATGCCAAATTGCTTGTGTCCTACAGATACAAAATGGTATCCATATGCTACCATTCCATACTATTGCGCCGATACACAATTCTGTATCTTCATCAATTGAATGGTCAATGCAGGGATGAGTTCAATGAAGAAAAGGAGCCTGACGGAATGGTTCTTGCTGGGTGGTCTGGCCCAGTTGATAAGCAAATTACCAGTAATGGTGAGAATAGATCAGTTCCATCTTCATCCAATACAGAAGATGTTGATGGTACTGCTGAGGATATATCAGCGAAGCCTGGAATGAAGCGTAAGCTGAACGAAATATTAGAGGCAAAGGAGAATTTTGATGCTCTTGAAAATCCTTCGGATGTTGGATCCAGCAGCGCTCAAGTTGTTGAAGACGACGACGACGACGAGCTTGTTATGTTTGATGAGGACCCAAGGCAAAGCAAGAAGAAGAGATTGCAATAGCATCCTGGTGCAGCGATAACAGCTCTTGACTCCCGGCATCATGGCTAACACATTGTTCAATCATAACATCTTTGATAACTTATCTATGCGGTGATGTGCTAGGTTGATGTTGAGACATTGTTAACAATTCCCGGGACACTTTTTTTTTGGACTCAGATACCGCCCTGTAGGATTGTAATTTGTAGGTTTTAGGCACAAGAGCAACTAATGCTCTGCTGACAGCCTGCTGCAAGATAGCATTTGTATCTCAGGAGCCAAGGTCCTGTGTTGGTGATGGTTTTTGTTCAGTTTTGAGGGGTGACCGGGTGAACCACCAAGCTATCTGTCATATTAAGTGCCATTCACAGGGTCTGGAAATATGTACTCATCCTGTAATCCTGTTAGCGCTACGCTATATGTCAACAAGGCCTGGGTTTAGAAGCTATCTCAGATTTCCTGTATTATGGATCGTTTTCTTCGAAGCCAGTGAATGATCATTCAGGCCTTTTGGGTGGTGTTGTATTCATCTCAATCCACATGGGTTTGGGTGGATTGAGGTGAAATTTAGTTTAAGTTCCACTTCGATGCATCCCAACACATGTTTAGTTTAAGTTCCACTTCGATGCATCCCAACACATGTTTTGGATTGATGCGAATCTGACTATATCCAAACGGATATTGCATGGGGTTCTAACCAGAGAAACTATAGTAAAACAAAGCTGATCCACCGTCACAGCTGAAGTTGTTTCGGCCACAGAGCCAGGAACTATCAAATCGTATAAACAATCCAACGACTTATAAATCGGAATCACACATTTTTCCAAAAAATAATAAAAATCGGCATCCCAACTCCGAAGAACGGGAACACTATCCATCCTCATAAAATCCTCATAAAACTCTGATGAGGAAAAAGCATCTCAATCTCAACTTCTCAAGCAGACGAACAAGAAATGAAGAAATCCATCAATGCAGGAAAATCCGCATTAGTTTCCGGCTGCCGCCGGTCTTCTGGATCCCCTCCAAGAACGCCGCGCCCCTAATGTGGCAGACGAGCGCGCACACCACGACGCCGAGGAGGAACGCCGCGAGCCGCCGGAGCCCGCCGCCTCGCCTGCTCCGCCCTCTCTCCAACACCGCGGCCCATACGTCGAGCACCTGGCCCAGGCCGGACGCGTTCCAGGCCTCCGCGAGCGCCGCGAGCCTGTCGCCGCCGAGTGCCAGGGAGAGCGCGACCGCAGCAACCGTCTCGGCTGGTGTCTTTCTCCTCCTGCCCAACCTAATCCATCCGCCGCCCCCGCCGCCGGGAAGAACGATGAGGGGCCGCGGGCGGGGAAGCAGGCGGCGCAGGGAGGTGGAGACGAGGCGGCGGAGGGGCGGCGGCGGGAATGCGATGGTCTTGGGCTTCGGGCGGCTGCGGCGGCGGCCGCCGCCACGGCTGCAGCTGATGTCGGTGGAGACGGGGTCGGCGAGGGAGAGGCGTGGGGGTCGGAGGAGTTGGGATCGGAGCATCGTGCGAGCACGGGGCGACGGATGGGTGGAGCGAAGGCGAAGGCTGCGGCTTGCAATCTTCTCGGCGTTTTTTCCGGTGGCCAATGCGGTGCGTGCGGACGCTCGGGTAGATGATGCTTTCAAATTTGGACCCGCAGGCCCACGAGAACTTTATAGCGTCAAACTAATTTTCTGCGAATTCGTGAAATCTTCTGCCAAATGGGGCTGCGTCTGGCGTTGGTCTGGCCGTCTGGGCCATCAAACCGATTTTGCCTCGTTGATGATCCAGGAAAGCTGGGGTGTTTCCTAAAAAAAAAGGAAAACTGGGGTGTTTGCTAAAAAAAAAGGAAAGCTGGGGTGAATAAAAAGAATTTTTTTTAAGGGCAGGAAGCGTACAATCCTGTAGCCTTACTGAAGCGCAAAAAATTCATGACTTAGAAAATGAAGAAATTAATCCCATCAGATGAGCAATGCTCAGCATAAGACATTCATCCTTCAGCTCTCTACGAATCCATCAAATACAGTTACAGAATGTCTGTAGTCTTTTTGGGACACATGATGAAATATGAATGATCAACCTTCACTGGGAGAAAAAGAACTTTATGAAAAAAAACTTTCTGTGTTTCAATTTGCTAACAGAAGTGCGAACACAACAATTGGATGTAAGAATAAAAAAACGTCCTGTCTATTACACCGATGGTGTAGGGAGGAATGCTGCTCTTTGCCCTTTGTGCAATGCACATCTCTTCCTCCCTTCAACCGGTCTATTCATACAAGGTGAACCGTCTGATGTACGGGCGCCACAGGTACACGGCCATCCTGAGCTTCTGGAAAACGAAGCACCAGTGGCCTCTATTCCACTGTCCTCCTCACACCTTTCCATTCCTGCAATTGACACCATTTTGCAAGGCCTGTTATCTGTCATTGCTGTTATCTGAGATCCTGAGCCTCTTGATGGCTGTTTGCTCGCCGGTTTCCTCTGTGATTTGAGCAGCTCAAACCACATTCTCCCAGAAGGCTGCTCCTCCTGAGACTCAGATTCAGCATGGGAAAACTTCTCTTCTAAGATACAAGCATCCCTGGAGATTTCACGTGTTCCATCTTCTGTAGAAGCTTCTCCAGTATTCACCTTTTCTGATTCGAAGCTATTGGTGTGCCTCAAAGGTTCCTCCAGTATTTTGCTTTCCTGTTTCGGAACTGAGCTGTCCAAATCTTCAGTTAGACAAGGAACGAACTCAGGAATTGCAATCTCAACTTGGCAAGGATAGCTAGTAGGTGAACTTTTTGGGCTGCCTTTGACTCTTTTACCTTTGTGTAAGCTGCACCTCTTCCTTCCATGAACTGGGTGCTCCAGACAAGAAGAACCATCTTCCAGCACCACTCCACAAACAGAGTTAGAATCCTGTATCGGCACAGTTCTCCGTTTTGTAACATCAATCTTTTTTACTTTGTATCCTTCGGACCCCCTTCTATGTGCTTGTCTATTTGCACAGGGAATATCAGATATTTTTTTCCAGGGAATATCAGTCATCTCACCTTCACTGTCCTCAGAGTTAAGTACCTGAGGTCTGAAACGAACAATAGTACGAACCCTTGGGAGCATACTTTTAATTATGCCAGGCGAGGTGTTAGCTAACCCACTTCCCTTTATCTTTATACCTGCTTTCTCTCCAAATATTTTTTGTTTCATGTCACTTACTCTGCTAAGTAGAGATCTATGGTTGGCTGCTCGCAGTTCTAACTTGTGCAGTATTTCTTCCCGGCGACAAGCACTATTCTGAAGCTTGTTCCATGCATAATCAAATACTCTCAGCAGTAGTGCTTCAGTCTTCTCAGCTTCTTGTTTATTGTCCATCTGTTTGTTTCCAACAGTAGAAAGGACAAAAAAGAATGGAAAATGTTAAGACCACTCATATAATAATCAAATTACGATGTTAACTGCTAAGGTGAAAAGGACAACCGAGAATTCATAACCGACCCTTTCTGTTTTTATAAAGCAACCAAGCAAGTATATAAATATCGACGGATTTCCCTACATCCATTAGGCCATGTTTCGAAACAAAATAATCTCCTCCAATCAATACACATTAGGAATGAATGAGTGTGTGTGTGTGTGTTAAATTCCTGTTCCATTCCAATTCGCTTGTATTTGGTGTACATCTTGATATTAAAACGTAAAAAAAAAATCTAGTTAGGGAATGCCACGACACAAATATATCCCCAAGTAGTTTTCCATGAACAGGTGAGCAAAATTAGGCACTTTCATGTGGAACAGCATATTGATAGTTCAACCGTAGTTAAGTGCAATTCTGAATGTAACACTGCAGGAAACAGTGAGGGTAAGACTAGAAAGTAGAAACCTTTAGGAGGAAGTATTTTTATTACTCTATTTATACAAGCTAAGGGCAAACCATTTAACAATTCAACTGCTGAAGAATAATGATAATTCTTTATGAAAAAAATCAAGCAAAGTGTACATTCAGCAAGGAACAATGCGAAATGGATGAAGTGAGCAAGCATAACATTTGTCAGAACGAAACATGTGAACACATATACACAATATCACTCTATCAGCTGAACATAATGCTATCTATGTATGGGAGGCTACTTAAATATTGTGGGCATCTAAATCATAGCGTTCTTTGCAGTTTAGAAACCTTCAAACTAGACTCTCATTCAGAACTCAGACATCATTGGCATGTTAATGTACACTACTACACTTGCAAAATGATGTCTGAGTTCCACTGCCCCGCAAATCCTAGAATGGAAAACGGATCAATAGAAACGCTTACCAGCGCACATCGAAACACGACGGAGTAGCCTCTGGAGAACACTTCTCTGAACAGTCCAGGACCCGCGGCGAGCGCATTCACCGCATCTCTACCAGCAGAACCCAGCGAATTCGCAGTGTCCAGATGCGACCCCGAGCGGCCATACTGCTGCAGCCTCGCCCGGACACTGTCAGCCTGCCCGAGGTACACCACGACGACGCCTCGCGCGTCACGCCTCCGGGCCCTGACGCCCTCGTCGGCCGCGCCGGCAACGCCTAGCTCGTAGAGGCCGGGGAAGTTGTCCGGGAGGTTGCGGATGCGGTACCTCTGGACCCCCTCCTTGCCGGCAGCGTGGTCCCTCCAGTCCGACGGCCCGACAAGAACTTGGAAATGGGATAACCGGATAAGTGAGGGGTTGAGGCGCAGATGGGGCGCGAACCAAGAACCCAGAATTTCCAGATTGGACACTGGGTTTCACAGGCGAGATGAAGAATTGGTGGTCGGGGAGCCAGATCCCGTGAACTGCATCGTGCCCTCAGCCAGCTCGCGCCAGAAACAGGAGCAGATGGCGAGAAGGAGAACTAGTGAGGAGACGGGGAGTTCGTATCTTCCATGGGGAGAAGAGGGAGTCGTGCTTGGTGCGGGGGCAGTCTTCCCTCTTCAGCCTGGCGGTTACGGGTGCGGCGGGCGCAGGCATCGCTCTGCCGGTGCCGGACCTGCTCCGGTTGCAGGTGGCTGGCAGTCGGGCTCTGCGCCGCCGCTGCCGCACCACCGGCATGGTCGCCGGGAGCGGGCTCGTGTCGTGTTTTGAAAATCTGGGTTCGTTGGACTGGGCTGGCCGTGGACGCTGATGGGCTCCAACTTTGAGCCGGGCTTTGTCGGGTTGTGACTAGAGAGGGACCACCGGAATTCTGGTGGCAAACAGCTTAGCGCAGCTCCAGTGTGAAATCAATTTTCCTTTGCAACATAATTGGCGTGTAAGATTTGTTTGCTATAGCCTATGTTCAAGTAAAGAAAAAAACAAGTACAACTTTCTACTTCACAAAACTGATCAACTTTCACGTCTTATACTAAAGACTATGTGCCTTGTATATTATATGCATTTGTTGAGCTCACGGTTCCAACCATACTAAAAGGTCGATTTTGAGGTCTGACGTCCAGCAACCAAACACTCTAGTGTGAAAAGTTCAAATTTTCCTCCACGGTTCGACTTTTGTTCTACACTTCGACACTGGAGCTGCTCTGACAGCTGGCCACGCAAGTAGCCATTGGATACAAAGGATGTGTTTGGATGGCATCCAGAGCAACAGTCCTAGAACTTTTCCAAAAAGCTGCGGCGTGCAATCCGCATGACCTTCCAAAGTACTAGGCAACAACATAGAGTTTGTTTTGTTTAGATGTAGGTTTGTTTTGTTTGGACGCAGGCAAAATTGCGTTCGATTTTGAGTGTCTGGGATGGAGATTAGAAGGTTGAATTAAGTACTCCCATGTCCTATAATATAGTGTATTTTAAGAATTTTAAGACAAATTAAGAGAGAACATAAAAGACGCAAGTACTCTTATTTTATTTTCTAATCAGACACTATCATCAACGTGATTAATGGTAATTGGTTGATAAATGGAAAATATTTGATGTAAAATTGGTTTTTGTCCTATAGAATGCATTATATTTGAGGACCACTTTTGAATGCTAAAATACACTATATTTCAAGCTGGAGGATTAGGCCTTTAGGCGTTGAAAATGATAAATTGGCTCAGATAGCTCGATTTGCATGTCCTAATTACATAGAGTCGGATTCGTTGCTCATACAAGACTTCTCTAATACTTAAGATAAGTTACATAATTTATGAAAAGACAAAAACTTCCAACCAAGTCATTTTGACATAGTCTTTATCACACAAAAATTTGGGGGTCGCATTTTGGTGTTTGCCCTTTTCATAATCGTTAGTCACTGAAATACTTCATAAAATTTATTAGCTTTTTTATTTGAATTGTCATTAATTTACTAAATATGTGATGGGAATAAATACACTTTTATTTTTGTGCTCACTCGTTGTTGACTCCTAGATACAGAATCCAAATGCGTCGAGGAAACAAACCATAAGGAATAGCGAGCAGTTTGGTTCCTTCCACAGTAACGCAAATGTAAATGGAATTAGTTTAAATTTATCTCCCACTGGTAACGTGTGCAGCTTTATTTCTTTTTATGTTTGTGTTACCCAGGTGCAACCAAACAGCTCGTAGGAGTTACGTGAGGCCTTGAAGACTTGTTAGGAGACAGACAGCCTGTTCGTCGTAAACGATAGTAAATTTTCAGCTAGAACAATATTTTTCTCTCACACCAAATCAGCCAGCAGTAAATAATCCACGATCGTTTACGGCCTGCCAAACAGGCTGAGAGTTGCTAGTATGTAGAGTTTCGACATCACTCAAGCATAAGCATGCCTATGGAATAATTTCTGTTACGTTGTAGTAGGACCTGATTGTTGTAAGATGTTGTTTTCATAATCAATAAAGCTCGTGTACCATTCTATTTCATTACTATGCGTATGTACTTGATCATATTCACTTGGACTCGCAAAATAAAGGTCCGACGCTAACAAATAATTAGTTATAAAAGGAAGTATCTGATCGTGTTAATCTTGTTTGACTTGGAGAGTTCTTGAAACACATCTAGCAACACATGGATATGAACCCGCACATCTCGATTTTGGCAAACAACTGAGATAAAATGATAAAAGACACGAGCCAGAGAATGCTCATAAAAGATTAGACATTTTGTGAAAATTTATGTTGCTTCTGTTGTGACGCACGGGAATAAAAAAGTGAAATATAGAAAACAAAGAATACCACCTGACCACACGATAAAAATGACCTTATGACAACACCGCCTACGAGTTCACCAAAACATCGGCAACCAATGAGGGGGAGGATTCACCAAAATGATTCCCCAAGGGACATTGAGATGGATGAAATTATACAAGGAGTCCTGATTTCAAAAAACAAAGGAAGATGGAGACGTCTTGATTTTATTGAAGCTTGGTATGCAGAAGCTATTGTCACGTTTGTATCGAGGTTTAGTATAACAACCTGCTAAGTGGTAACATCCAAATTTAGAGAAACCCTGAAATGAAAAAAATGGACAATATTGAGCCAAACCTCTTTTTTATTTTAAAAAAAAGTGGTTTGGATACGGACCACCCTTGCGGCACCGAAGTGGCCTGCTCTGGCGGCTGCAAGATAGAAAGGTGGGAAAGAAGGCTTAGGGCGCGTTTGGTTTCCTAGGGGAACCTTAATTAACCTTACCGACATATAGGGATGAAAACGGTCGGAACGGTCGGAAAATGTCTTAACCATTCCCGCTCCTGTATCTTTTTGCTGGGAACGGAAACGGGAACGGGAAGGCCGGACGGGAAAACAAAACCGGTATTACGGGATATCGGGAACAGAATATTTCGAACGAGAACGTGTCGATTACGATCGAGAAGCGGTAACACAAAACGGGAACCGCCGCTAGCCCCTTCCTTGCCCATGGCCGGTCGGGGGCAGTGGCCGAGCAGCGCCGCGGCCTTCGGCCGCTTCAGTCAAGTCGCCAGGCGCCAGCGATCTCGCTCTCGCAGAGAGGCGAGGCGCGCCGACGACGATTTGGAGTCGCCGAGTCGGGGACTCGGGGATAGCGGATAGGGTTTGGCCGCCGTTTTTGGGACGGATGGGAGGGAGTAGCGAATGGGAGTGGGCTGGGCCTGTGGCGTGGGGGAGCGGGAGGTTTCATGGGCTGCATCAATTAGTGGGTTGAATATGAGGTTTAGGTGTACAAAATACGGGAATACCGCCGGGAATTTTCCTACCCAAATACGGGAACCGTGAATACGGTCGGGAAAATTCATTAACTGATTCCGTTCCCGTTCCTGCCTAAAATACGGTATCGGTTTCCCGTTTCCTGTTTTTCCTGCAAAAACGGTATGCGATCGGTTAATGCGGTATACGGTGTCGGTCGGTACGGGAATTTCCCGTCCTGTTTTTATCCATACCGACATGGAATCCAACAAATTCGCCAAGCCGAACGAGTCGAATACGGTCTCCGGCACTGGCAAAGATTTTGCTTGCCAGCATGTAACATCCCTAGTGTTACGAGTTTACTTAGCACCAAGATTAAGACCTAAAAGATATTAGCAAAATAAGTTTGTTGGGTTTAAGAGTTTAAAACTTACCTGAAATGATAAACAAACTCTATGTGACTCACTTTTGTGGTTGAGAAAAATCAAAATAAATATTGTTAACTAGTGCTCTTGGGAGCTCAAAAATCAAATTTGAAGTTAAGATAAGCTCTTTTTGTTAAGACGGCAAACGCTTGAACTTACGTTTAAAGTACTATTTTTGATGATTTATTGTGGGCAAAATAATTAATTAATGCTTAAATATTTTGTTCCTATGGGTTAGTATGGAGTATGGACCATTGCATGAAATGCTTGTGGGTTGGAGTTAATAGAATTTAGGCCTTTTCAAAATTATAACAAAAATGTTAATGACTATGAGTTCGAAGTGAACCTTAACTTTTTAAGTATGGGAAAAGTAGTAAGACAATGCTATCTTGACATTAAATTTCTAACAAAAATGTTAAAACACTAGCTGCATGTTTTGGTATTATTGATTGCATCAAAGTGAGTACTTGAGCATGGCTTAGGTGGTTGTTGTGTTGGGTGTCACGTTGCTCTCGTAAAAATTGCATAAACTTCGTTAAAACACGCTGTGAACTATGTCGTTGACGTTATGTCCATGAACTGGCACTTCGGGGACGAGCTCAGGTTGGGATTCGTGTATCTCCCTCCCTAACTGCTCTTTGATCTTGACGATTGCTTCGTTAGATAATCGGTAGTGTGGACTTTAGAGTAGTAAAATTGGTTGAGTTCCAGACGTGAGGATCAACAACTCTTGAGTCACTTTAAAATGCGTACGCGACACCGGTGGCGGTCAATCGGCCTGAGTCTGCAGTCACCACGCGCACACGTTGCCGATGCCTGGCCCCTCCTGGCCATGATCATGCTCGTGGTCGGCCTTGCTGGCTGCTGGCCGTGCGTCGAGCTAGGGGTTGGTCGCAGTCGCCTTCCGCGGCGCCGGGCTGCTGCTGCGCGGCCGTCGCGTGTGCACTGCCATCCTAGACGTGCGCGGGCCAGACCGATGTCGCGGTGGCCTTCGTCTAGCCGACGTGGTACTCTATCTACCGCTCGAACCACCTACTCGTCGAGCCGCTGCCTGCCTCCATAGTCACATCGCACTAATGCCCTTGTCGCAGTGTCACTGCCCTCCCTCATGTCGTTTTGTTGCACTAGCCCCGCGAGATGGCCCCGCACACGATCGCTGCATCACTGCCGCTGCCCGCGTCCCACCATGGCCGAGCAGTCCCATCATGACGCTCCACGACGCTCTCTCTCTGAGTCTTCCCCGTGCGGACGCCTCGCTTCATTAACGCAGCCTCGACCGAAGCAGGTATAGCCTTGAAGAGCTGCCGCGCCCGCCTGCCCTTATCGCCGACAGAATCACCCCGCTTCGCACGACAAATACGTGCGGTTCTGGGATCCACACCTCAATTCAACGTTCTAGCAGTTAGACAGGAAAGCCAACTAGCAGCCCGACTCTCACCTTGGCGCAACCGAGCACTACTAGCCTCCAATTTGGCGTTTTTCTCGCCGCCGACCAGGTGCGCCTCTGTGCAAGTGAAATTGGGGTAAGGTCCGAATGGGTTCAATTGTTTGTATCCACAAGCTCGCTTTGACCTC